AAATGGCCGAAATATCACATTATTTATGGGTCTAGAAACGAGTCACGCCACAGCGTATACGAACAAGCTATGAACAAAACTCCATCAAGCCAACATTGCCTCAACCTTAGAAGAGTTCCTGGAGCAGTACCGCTTAGCCACGCGAGCATCCCAGAAGACGAGGTCCATCACCCCCTGACGCCACAAATGACCGTCTTGAAAATAGCCAATTTACAAGCGCTGGCAATACAGCCAGCTACGTCCTCAATTGGCCAGAACTATACACCGGCAGATAGTAGAACACCTCTTCTAGCGCTGAGGACATGTCCCCCATCTTCCTTTTGGGGTTTTCTTGAAATAAACTTTTTGAATTTTTCCAATCGACCATGCTGAAATACGGCCAAAGGCATACCTGCGCAGGAAAGCTCGCCCCTCCGCGACGTCTCCTCAGCAATTTCTACTCCAACACTACTCCCAAGGCCGCAGAACAAAGTGTAGTGTTGACTCTGACAAGGAAAAGCAGCGGTGATCACTTGTCACTCCAAACGACAAGCTTCTCCTTGCGCCACCAATAATTTTTTGTGCGACTGTTGATGCGTACAGTGAAAATGAACGTACTCCCGAGACATTCGTGGTCGACGGATCTTATCCCTACGTGGACCAGTGACGTGCTGGATGAACGTCGACTGTTCTACGATAGTACTGACGGGCGCACGTGTGCCGCTATGCACGCGTACTAGTACATAGATGTCGCGTGCGAACATGCATTCCGCAGAAAAAATTGTGAGTGAATAGGACTAGTTTTGGAAAATCACGAAAATCACTGGTTTTGGCTCCGCGGGTCAGTTACACACCCTGGCCGTGCTGAAAGGGTTAAAAATGTGCAGGAATGGACTCAGATGGAGAGACAAGGTTTAATTTATACAAAAGGAGAAAGACCAAGGAACTACAAGTTACGCTATACGTCGGTCAGTGTCATGCAACGTTATCGCATGAGCTGATTGTTTAGTAACTGGTGGTGTTAGTGGACAGTATAGCGTAACTTGTAGTTCCTTGGTCTTTCTCTTTTGTAGAAGTTTAAAAAAAGTGTTGACCATACTCACATCTTGCCTTGTATGTTACGGCCGTAGGTAAAGAAATGATCGGGAAACGAGGTGTATTTATTGTCTTCCAGCCCACTGCAGCGAAAGCACGCACCAGCAAGAACGGGCAGTATGGTAGAGAAGCACAGACAGTCAACTCATATGCACTGGCCGATTGGCAACTTTGCTTTCAAACATGCCATCTGCATGTTTTTTCTTCCATAAAAAAAGTAAAATGAAAAAAAGTTAGCCGGATTCGCGGCCGCATCACCTGACATGTTTATGAACACATCAAGCAAATACATTCACATCGGCGAGCCGCCACTTCGCCCATATGTCCTCAGTGTCAACTGCAAGGATGCAGTTTACTGGGTAATAGGGCCTTTACACGCCCGCTTGTTGAGACATTTATCCCCTCTTCCCTGACTCACTTTTCTTCCATACCAACAAAAAAAGATATGCGAACAAGAATGCTTCACTGCAACGTGCAGTGTAAGATTAAATGGCCCTTTCAAAGAAAGATGTTGAGAGTCAGGAAATGGGATAGGAGAAAGGAATTTGAACAATTCTAAAGAAATGTCTCATACAGCTTTATTGAGCTTGAGCCGTTTGCAGGCAACTCCCCTACACTCCAGAAAGCACTGCGTTTCTCACAAAATTCAGCAATTTTTCAACTTTTCGGTCTGCCTGGTCATCGCCAGGAGTGGGAAAAAAACTATGAAAAAATGCTGCAGCGTATTGCGATTGATTGTTTTAACGATAGCTTGCACAGACCTCGGCCCTACCGGTAGGAACATCGTACACAGACATGCTGCACGGCCTCTGTTATAACATTGACCTAAAACTTGACCCTGAAACTGTTGCTAAGAGGCTAATGAAGGAGTCCACAAATTTTGGACGTGATCGTACAAGGCACATTACAAAATTCCATGGCAACAGCCATGGTAACCATGGAAATAGAGTATGGAATTTTGCATTCCAGTGCCATGGCAGGCTCAGACAGACATTAGGTCCTCACCATGATCGATGTGCCATGGTCAGAATTCACTTTGGACAGAGTTTCCAGTGCTCCGACATGAGCATGTGCATGTGTGGCCATTTTGACAATTATTTATAAAATTGCACATATGCAATGCACTGGACATAGTCTTGCATGTTGCGCTAATACTTTGCCTTACAAAGACTTCATCTGAACAATTGTTTCAAGAAAATTCTCGACCAAAAGCACTTTTTAAAAAGAGTTGGTGGACAAGCCGTTGATTATCCACTCTCATTGTAATATCAAAAAGAATTCTTTCTAGACCAAAGAGTGGTATATTTGATAAATACAGATAATATCTACGATACTTCTCCAGACGTTTCTGATATGTCTACAGTTAGCAAGAAGACATTTATTATAAAACAAATCTGAAGAGAAGGAAAACACAACTGAAGAGGCAAAACACATGAAGCACGGAAGTATCTCCCAAGCCAAGCAAGCATGCCGTTATGGTGCGAGGTCATACAACTGTGGCACAAATCTAGTACGGGAGTACATGAACTACAGGTCAAATATGGCATGGGGGAATCCATATACATCAGTTTCGTTGTTCTGAACATCATCATCAGTAGATAAATAATGGAGGGATTTGGGTGGTGGCACGGGTAAAACTTTTGCAACGCAACTTCTTGGGGCCTGCCGGTAGAATCCGTGGCTCAGTTTGCAAGTGATTTATATCAAGAACCACAGTTCGCAGCAGTTCGCGGATTGTTTCTACCAATAGGTGAGACTGGTCTCTTCGACCTAGATATTTGGATCCTTGGATTGGAGCGAGATTTGACTGAGTTAAGATTTCTGGAAGTTTTGCACTTGAATGCGTCGTTTAGGACGCATTCAAGTATGGGCGGCTTTCAAAGTGTTAAACACACCACACTCACAGCGAGAAGTGTGTTGCCAAGTTGTCGAACACTCCAGGACGTAACGGGATAAAGGTGTGCTTCAATCCACTGGAAAATAAAACACACAGTGGAACAGAGCAAAAGAAACAATGTGAAAGAAAACAGGAAGAAAATAGACTCCGAAAGGTCCACCGTTTCAAGAGGAGAGGTGCACACGTTTGCTTCCATGTAGTAATTGGGCTCGTAGCCCGTGTTTGCTTACGAATTCAAATAAAAAAATATACATACACTCATACGTAAAAAAAAAGAGAAGAAACACACAACACAACTCTATCCGCAAAGTGATATCGATCATTGTGCTTCGGCGCATCACGGAATCCGGGGCACTCTCTCGTCATCTTGGTACTACACAGTCCGGCTTCCGCCCGGGCCGTAGTACAGCGGACGTGGTATGGACCCAGCGGTGGATCGCTGCAAGAGCCATTCGTTACCGACAGCAATTTCACATTCTAGGCCTGGACATGTCCAAGGCCTTCGATACGATTAACCGCCTGAAGCTGCTGGAGGTGATGTCTGCAATCACCAATCCAGATTGCACATGTCTCATCCACCACCTACTCCACAACACAACTATCACTGTTAAGGTTGCAAGTGCCACAGCTGAACCGTTTGAGAGCACTATTGGAACACCACAAGGCGACAGTCTCAGCCCAGTTCTCTTCATCTGCTATCTGGAGGCTGCACTACAGGAATGCAGAACTCGTCTCGCGCCCCGCCCTGCTGGCGACGCAAGTCTACCACCAGAGACGGGTTATGCAGATGACATCTCCTATTATTCAACCTGCAGGCTGTGGCTTGAGAATGCTCTGCCTGTAATAGCAGACACACTGCACGATTGGTCATTAAAAGTAAATCCAGATAAAACAGAGTGGATCCGTGTGTCACCTGATTCCGAGAGCTGGCGGACATCTAGGCAGCTTGGCTCCTTGATGGGGGAGGAAGAGGATGTTCGGCGCAGGATGGAACTTGCCTCTCGCGTGTTTGGCCAGCTGTACGCCCTATGGCTGCGTAGAGATAAAGTAGCGGAGAAGACACGCTTACGCCTGTACAACGCTATCGTACTGCCGACATTCCTGTACAATTGCGAGACCTGGGGATTATCGTCAACAGCAATGGCCAAGGCAGACGCATTCCACCGGCGTCAAATGCGATCACTCCTTGGAATACGATACCCAGACACAATTTCAAACGACGACCTATACCGCAGAACCAAGAGCAACCCTATATCAGACACAGTTGCATGTAGGCGACTACGAATGACCGGTCATGTGCTACGGATGGACACGGACACGCCACCGCAAGTAGCCATGAGCGGCTATTTTGACAAGGGCAACAAAGCACCTCGTGGACGGCCAAGGTTGACACTGGCCACAAGTCTGGTTGCTCAGCTGAATAAGCTGGGTGTGCCAATGAAGACCATGGAAGACCTTTCCAGGTGCCGACAGCAAGCAGCAGACAAGACAGACTGGAGGAAACTGTGCAGCTCGACACCCGGCGAGAAATCGGTATCAGCAGCTACTACACCTAGCTGATGATGCTCACAAGACAGAAGCGGAAAAAACACTGAATTTCTTTATTTAGTGCTCTACTACGCGAAATGTGCTATTATTATTATTATTATTATTAGAAACACATGAGAACGAGATATGCAGCAACTATCCACGTCTGTAACAAGATGATAAACGGTTCTCATATTTTTCTTCCCTTTTTACATTTTATTATTGGCTCAGTATCCGAGTTTAAATTATACACACATACATACATACATTCCTGGAGAAAGTACTCGAGACACAGACACACAGGTAATTCTGTAGAATGAAGAAGGTAGCGAGGCAGTGGGACAGTGAGAGAAGGACACAGGGAAAATGTATTGTATTACTGGCTGTCTACTGGAAATGGGGAGCACTTTACTCAGCCGGAGGTACGTACAGCTTTGATAATCCCGTCATGTTGGAGAACTGCAATGGATGAAATGTTATCAGAGAGTCGTAGTCCAAGTACCTAGAATGGGATGGAGTAGAAAGAAAGAAAATGTTCGGAGAATTAATTAATACTACGGGGCCAGTCACACTGAGGGAAATTTTGAAAAAATCCCTAGTCACCATGGATATTTGCCGCTGTAGCGGGAGATTTGAGATTAAAATCCACGCGATGAAAATCAGTTCGAGGCCCCGCTTTTCCGCAGAAGATTATAATCATCTGCGTCTTCCACCAGCTTTCTTTGAGTTTCCTTGTTTTTTCATTGCGCTGTGAAGTGGAGCGATACTATAAGTACAATTTTTCATTTGGAATTAACTTTCGCTATATATATTCGTTAGGGGGCACAAAATAACTAAAGCTTGTACCAAACTAAAGTTTTTTTTGTGACCGTTCCGGGTGGCAGACCTCGACCAAAAACGAAATTTAGTACGTACCAAGCCTGCTGGTGGCGTGATCGAACGAAAGATTTCGTGAACGACAATTTGTAGTTGTACAGTACTCTAGAGGCTCTGTGGATGCAGCTCTGGCCCGGCAGCGGGACTGACAGACTGCCACAAGCAAATGGTGCCCAAAAATATAGCTCGTGTGGGTGAGGTTTTTTCATCGTGCGTATCCTGTGTGGCCGTGATGAAAAGTAGAAAAAATTATTCCCGACTTGTAATCTGAGGATTGTTCCCTCAGTGTGACCGGCCCCTTTGGGGTCCGATAGTGAGCCTCGCTCCATTATTCATGTTGCATTGTTGGCAGAAGTGTAACTATGTTGTATAGCCACGTGATTCAGAATGCAATGTTCTTTGCAACTCTTAGTTCTTTTTGTGCCAATTTTTGTGAAGGGGTGTTTGGCCAGGAGTTGGCAATGTCCACGCTAGCTTGGGTGACGTGTAAATACTTTAGAGTATAGGAACGTGATAGCTGTGTGCATAATTAGTATAACACGTTTGAGAGATCCGTGCGTTGTATGTGTGTGTGTGTGCGCACGCGTGCGCACCAAAGAAATTGCTGTTTGGCGAGCTGCCTGCCCCCCGTTCTCGTCACGGCCCGAAGAAGAGGTGGCGAGATGTGGTGTCGACTGACCTGGTGGACCTCGGCGTGACCACCTGGCTTGAGACTTGAGAGTTGCCAAGATCATCCCGGCTGGAGACGAGTTGCGAGTAGCACTCCACCGCCACGGCCCGCTCCTGATCCTCTTCTCTGTGTCTGTGGACACCCGTTTCGTGGACCAGGAGACCTGAAACTACATGCCAAGTTCTGCGCTCGTGTTCTCCCTTGAACTTGAACTTTCCGGCATTCGCTATCATTGCGTATGCAATGGGCAAGATCAAGGTCAAGGTCAAAGTAAGTGTGTGTGTGTGTGTGTGTGTGTGTGTGTGTTTGTTTGTGTGTGTGTGCGGGTGTGCATGTGTGCGTGCGTGCGTGAGTTTTCTCTTCTTCCTCAGTCATTTTTTCACTTTTTCCCATCGTCCTATTATTTCCCGCGAGGTCGCAGATCTTTTTTTGCGCAGGGGGGGGGGGGGGGGTATGTTAGGTACCTCCTCCAGTACGTTCTACAACCTTTTCCAAGCTAGCCTGCATGCACCCTCGTGCTCACCTTTTGTCTCCTTTTGTCACCTTCTGTTCCATTACTTGCGTGCCCATATTTGCCATAGCTACCCAGGCCCTTTATCTTGCCACCCTCAATCGCCCTCTTTCTCGCTCTCTTCCACAATACGGTCGTTTCATTCGTCTTTGTCTCCGTCTCTTCGTCTCCCACAATAAATGTTGTTCCACCTACCTGTTCCCGTTGTCCGTTGTGTCTGAGAGTATGACTCCTCTTTGTACCCAACAGGGTCATCATGTCATTGCTCTACAGATTCATAATGTCATTTCTTTACAGGTTCATGATGTCATTGCTCTACAGATCCATGTCATTCCTTTACAGGTTCATGATGTCATTGCTCTACAGGTTCATGATGTCATTGCTCTACAGGTTCATGATGTCATTCCTTTACAGGTTCATGATGTCATTGCTCTGCAGATTCATGTCATTCCTTTACAGGTTCATGATGTCATTGCTCTACATGTTCATGATGCCATTCCTTTACAGGTTTCAAATCTTTATTCTCACGATAGCCAGTGGCCAATAAGAGATAATAGTGTAAGAAAGGAGAAAGAGTGAGGAAGAATTGGGTGGGCAGGGCCTAGGGGTTAATGACTACTTAAGTGTACGGGCAGGGGTGGTCGCTACACGAGCATACAGAGTTGTGTACTTAAGTGTACGGGCAGGGGTGGTCGCTACACGAGCATACAGAGTTGTGCAACAGCAGGGATATCTCGGATTTGAAGGGAGTACGAGAAAGGATTTCGCGAAGCTGGGTGGGCAGGCAATTAAAGTAATGAAGGGCCTTGTACAAGGGAGAATGGAGACAGCGGTCAGTCCGCGGAGTTGGCAAGTGCCAAGTACGAGAGCGACGTAAATTATACGAAGGTTGCACGTTGCTAGCAGTATGCAGCGAGAGTATATGTGGTGGGGCATAATTATGGCGCAGAGAATGCGCGAAGAGTATATGTTTAACTTTAAAGCGTGAAAATAATGTTGGCCATTTGATGCGATGCAAAAGGTGGGAGTGTTCTAAGTGTGTGTAAAGGGGAAGGTGGAGACATATTCTGGCGCCTTTCCGCTGGAGTCGTTCTAGCCTGTCAAGGGAAGTGTGGGACAACGGTGTGAGAGCATTGCTCGCATATGAGAATATAGGTAGTATGTATGTCTGATAGATGTGAGATAAAGAATCACTGGTGAGTGTAGACCTTAGTCTAAAAAGAATAATTATTGAAAGACTTGAGTGATTTTTTGACGATGTATTCAACATGCTCCGTCCAACGGAGGTCATGCTGAAAGATTATTCCGAGGTGTTTGTGTTTTTGTGCTACGGTAAGCGGACTATTTCTGAGGGTGATCTGGGGTAGCTGTTCAGGGGGGGCGGTTATTGTGGTAGAACGGGAGGATGACTGTTTTCTTTGTGTTAACCAGCAGGTGCCATCTTTGAAGCCAGTCTCCAGCTGCTGTGACACTCTGTTGTAGGTTTCGGGTGCAGTCTTGAAGAGTTCTCGCTATGGAAATCAGAGCGGTATCATCTGCAAATTGGCTACAGGTTGTGCCGGGATTCTCACATGCGTGTGGAAGGTCTATGGTGTAGACGAGGAGTAGAAGCGGCCCAAGAACAGATCTCTGAGGGACGCCGGCAGGGATCTCGAGGAAAGGCGATAGGTCGCCATCCACCTGGACCCTTTGCCGACGCCCCAACAGGTACCGTCGGAACCACTCCAGGGCGTTGCCCTGGACACCATAGTGGGAGAGTTTTGCTAGAAGGCCTGCATGCCACACACGATCGAAGGCCTTGCTTAGATCGAAAAAGCAGGCATTGACGTGTTTCCCGTCGTCTCTCGCAGTGGAGAGGGTATGGACGAGACGGGCAAGTTACTGCTCAGTGCCGTCTTTCTCACGGAATCCGGACTGCTGGTTGGGCAGGTGGGGTGTGATGTGCTTGTAGAGGAGTTGATGTGCAATTTTTTCTTGGATTTTTGATGTAGTGCTCAAGAGAGAGATGGGGTCTGTAATTTGTTGGTTGGGTTGGGTCACCGGGCTTGGGTACTGGAGTAATGGTGGCATCTTTCCACTCCTGTGGGATTTCTCCGGTTTGGAACGATAGATTAAAGAGGGAAGATAACGACGGTGCAAGTTCCTTAGCCGCTTCTTTGAGTTGGCAGTTTGGAATAGAGTCGAACCTGGGGCTTTTATTGGTATCAACTCCGCGGAGGAGTTTTTCGACCTCAGCTTGGGAAGTCGAGATTTCTTGAAGGGGACTGAGGATGTCAGGGGTGGTGTTGATGGCTGGAGTTTGCTCATCCGCATTGGCCACAGACAGCTTGCTCTGTGAAATGAAGAATTCGTTGAGGGCAGCGGCTTTTTGTGCTGGTGTCGTTGCAGGAGTTGCTTGGCTGACGGGTTCGGGTATGCGTTGTTTTGTAGCTGTAGTTAGGTGCTTCATGAGGCGGTGTAGGGAAGTAGAGGAGGCTGTTGAGTTGTTTACGAAATCCGATTTTGCACGACGCAGGAGGGTGGTGACACGGTTTCTTTGGGCAGTGAACGTGTTCCAGTCGTCGGGCGAGCGTGAGTGAAGGTATATTCTGTGTTTTCTGTGCTTATCGTTGATCTCTTTCAAGAGGCCCTTTGATATCCATGGTCGTGCTGGCACGTTCTTCCTGTCCCAAGGGGGGTGAGTGCGAGTAACTTGGCAGTGTTCTTGGGCGATGCTCAGGACTTTGTCACGCCAGGATCGCCAGAAGGTGTCAACTGGGCACGGGTCGTGTTCGTTTGGATGGTGGTTGAGATTTGTGCGTGAAAGGGCTTCTCGAAGAAGGTGGATAGTGCTGTCTGTCCATGACCAGAATGTGGTGCTTCTGGATCGTGGAGGGGAGTTGTTAATTATGGGGGGCAGTTGATTATTGATGTGGCCACTGATAGTAGTGTGATCGGATGCGCCAAACGGTGGAAGTGATTGGATATGAACATCATTGCTGTGGAGTGAGGAGATAAGGTTCATGATGTCATTGCTCTACAGGTTCATAAGGTCATTCCTTTACAGGTTCATGATGTCATTCCTTTTCAGGTTTATGATATCATTCCTTTACTGGTTTATGATATCATTCCTTTATAGGCCATTCACAGGACGTGTAAACTCACTTTTATCGTACTGTCTCCAAGGATATTTACTCGGATACGATAAGCTTGGACTCACGCGTGTAACTGATTTATATCTTGGCTGAGGTCCTTTTGCTAGCAGTTATCTTTGCACGCCAGGAAAAGTGTCGGCTGTTGAAAGTGGGTACTGCAAATGCATTGCTTGAACAAAGGAAAATTCAAAATTTAACATTTCCCGGCATTTTCAGGGGGTCACTATGGATACATTGACGGTTGCAAAGTTTGCCCAGCACCGTGTGAACTGGATCACGGTTTGCCAGTGTTATCTTGGTCACACGCGTGC